TGCATTTGATATAGCGCCTTATCACGTCTTCGAGACGTCTCAAAGCCCTTCACAGAGTATACTGTAAAGTGAATTGACTGTATATTTTGTGGGCGAAATGCGGCAGACAATTGCGCACAGCAGCGTCCCACAAACAGTGGTGGATTGAAGTGACCAATTTATTATTATTATTATTATTTTGAAGGTATTATTACGCCCGGAAAAGTGATCCGCCAATTGACGGATTGGGTTCCTATTTACTGCTAGATAAACAGAGGTGTGCGGAGTAAGGAAACTCGCCCAACATTTTGCCCTGCCCGGGAATCGAACCCAGTTCTCTCACTTGCGAGGCGAGTGCTCTAACAACTGGGCTACAGGTTTCCACAACAGCAAACAAAGAGGAAGATTCTGTTGCTTTCGGTAAATCCTGGAACTGAATAGAATAACAACACCGCATTAGACGAGCAAACAGGAAATCTAGATGTTAAACTGAGATCCCACCTACCTGTTCAGGTGGACATTGAAGTGGCCTTAATTCTAAAGGAGAAGTGACTTGGCCAGATAGATTCGGTCATTCACTTCGTGGAACATTGCTGCGTGCAAAATGTCTGTCACGTTCACCTACAAAACAGTCACTGAACTTCGCAGTAAATCCAATGGAAGGATTATTTTTGATTTAGAATTACGAAAGGAACTCAAGAGCTGTTTCAGCTGCACGTCCATCCTCAAACTAGGATCAGAGCTTTGTATACCACTTCTGAATGCATCAGTTTACTCTAGACAGTGATGCTACCTAAAACACTGCCTCCGGTTGCAGTTTACTCTCACAGGCCTGACATTTCTCTTGGCGTTGAAACCATTGCCTTAAACACTTAGCATGTGATATTTTGGAAAATTCTTTCATGTTGAATTAAAGTCAACTGAATATGTATCTTGTTTTTCGGAAGGACTAAGACTGAATTGAAGAACTTTGCAAAGTTCTACAAAAATCTCAGATTTTAAGACATAGGTGATGAGACTAGGACGATGGGGTCTTCAGACCTCGTTCGCTGAAGCAGGAACCCTAAGAGCATGGATGAGATGGTTGGGGATTGTGATGGACACGTTACCGCAGTCCAATCTCTCTAATTCTTTCTACCCTCTTAACCACGGGGTCATATCTTCAGTGCAGTTGCTTCTCGCTGTTGTTAGGAGTCCATTTTGTCAGCAAGCATTCTCCCTGAAAACCATGCCAGCGGACAGCTTCAGAACCTTTCATGATATCATGGTCACTCACGCTATTAAAATAACAGCTGCAATGGTGTAACAGTCTCGTGTCTTCATATGATGCTCACAAAACCACGCGCACCACCATCATCTGAAGCCAACTGTTATTCTATCTGTTGCAAAGGTCATTCCACCTGCTGCTTAAACCCAGCTATTTCGAGTAGTGGTGGCAACCAACATGCAATGATATCACCTGAACCAAGAATATAACTTTGGGAATAGGGCAGAACCTACCCTCAAGCGTTCTGTTACGGAGATTGTTTTTTTTTTTTGGTTGCAAGCAAGATTGGAGAGGTCGGCTGGCGAACTGAAAGCGACGCCTCAGTGAGAAGGACAGCGTGGGGTTCTGGCAGGGATTCGTGGAAGTTCAGATCTATTTTTTCGCTCCGTGAGATCACATTGAAAAAAGAAATGCCAGGTGCCTGGTTTGATGGGTTGGGCTACTCTGGCCGAGAACATGAGCTTAAAGTCCTGGCAAAGGATTCGCGCCCATCAAATTTCTGAATCCGATTGACATCAAAACGAATAGCGGATCAGATCCATGTTCAACGTTCGCAACCAGAATTTTTGTGTTAATCGCGTTAACTTCTGGTTTGCAAATCCAGTGAAATTCATGCCCGCAGATTCTACGTTTTAAGTCCTGAAAGAGGCAGTCTCTCAGACCAGTGGTGTGTCTGCGCTGTGGGCTGTACAGTACAATATATGCCTTTTCAGAACTGGTGTTCTGCGGCGGTCCCAGCGGAGATCACGGGTCATGTGAGATCACATAGGAAACCACTTAAGTTGGCAGCTGAACTGTTTATCATTGTAAGAACACCTTGTGACTGCATAGCTAAATGGGAGTATTTATATATTTTAGGCTGTGGATTCCGCTTGTCACTTTGCCTACAAAATACGCAGTAAATCCTGTCAGGCGTTTTAAATGTCCTCCCAACATAAAAGGCTCTTAAACAAATGCAAGGTTTATTATTACTGTATTAATAATTATTAATATATTCCCACGTATCTCCTATTTGTTTGCCTTCACATCACTTTTGCCCAGCTAAAGGCAATGAGCTTCAAATGCGTTTAATTTTAACCATTTAAGATGTGGGCGGTTCTTTAAGGAGCACAGAATAATACAAATGATAGCCTTGCAACAGGAGTTATTTTTCCCCCTGTGGTTCTACGATGGGGAACCTCCCTCCTTTTCTGAATTAGTCCCAATCGCATAAATACGCCATTTACACAGCCTCAGTATCTTGACATTACATCAAGAGCACCGATGACATGACCATAGTCCCGACCCTGAAAGCACCAGAAGATAGACAGACGCCATTTCCACTCCACACGCCTGTTTATCTCGCAGTCAGTAGGAACCCGGTTGTTAGTTAATTGGCGGATCCCTTTCTGGGGGTAATAATCCCTCCAAAAATAACAACAACAATTTGGTCACTCAATCAATCCGCGACTGTTTGTGGGACGCTGCTGAGCGCAAATGGGTGCCCCGTTTTGCCCACAAAAAGCACAAGTCAATCCACTTCACAATATATCCTGTGAAGCGCTTTGAGACGTCCCGACGACCTGACGAAGAACTATATCAAATGCAAGAATTATTATTATTATTATCATCATCATCATCAGTAACGGAGCTGCGGGTTGTTTTTGATGGCGCTTACGATCACTTCCCGCCTCCCCTCTCTCCCACCTGGCTCGGAGTCAGACTCCGCCACTGTCGAGCGCTCCGGGAGGCTACCCCGGACGAAGGGCGCTGTATCAATGCGAGATGTCATTGTTGTTCATCTCGAGACGATCTCTTTCGCCGGATCGATCGACTTCTATAACCAAGTAGTTAAAACATCACTTGATCTTAGCCAAAAGGCTGAGAAGCTTTACTCATTTTAACAGCTGCACAGGAGAGAGAGAGAGAGAGAGAGAGAGAGAGTGTGCTCGAGTGGAGTAAAGCAGTCTGTGACAGGGGAAAGTAGCCTGAATGGCTCTTGTACAGCTCCTGGTGGTGAGTGCTGAGACCATTTCTCACCAGCAGTTTGGTTTTAACACAGCACCTCTGATCTATCGCGTTACGCTACTGTGACTTGCGTTGATGCGGCATCTTTCACGTGAAACAAAAACATCTCGAAGAACCTTACAAAATACTTGATTAGAAATGAGAGTGAAGATGGTTGGGTTGGCAGCCTGCGCTAGCAATGCCCCGTAAACAGCAATAATAAAGCAAAAACTATCCTTGCATTTGCTATAGCTCCTTATCACGTCTTCGAGAGACCACACAATCAAAGAATGGGATGATCTGTAAATAAACATGTAATAATATAAACCGTGCCAGCAACGTTTGTTTGTGAGGGTAATTTATAATAAAATAAATCGTTTTAATCCGTGCATTTGATGTAGTGCCTTATCACGATCTTCCAAGATGTCTCAAAGCACTTCACAGAAAAGTGAATTGACTGTATATTTTGTGGGCGAAACGTGGCAGCCAATTGCGCACAGCAGCGTCCCACAAACAGTCGTGGATTGAGTGACCAATTATTTATTTATTCGTCTTTTGAAGGGATTGTTATCCCCGGAAAGCGATCCGCTAAATGACTAACAACCCGGGTCCCTACGTACCGCTAGATAAACAGAGGGGTGTGGAGTGAGGATTGTGCATTTCATTCCAAACACAGGAATTTCCTGTTTTTAAAAATTGTAGGGATTATTACCCTTGGAGAAGCGATCCGCCAACAACCGGGTTCTTGCTTACTGCTAGGTAAACATAGGCGTGTGGAGTAAGGACACTTGCCCAACGTTTCGCCCTGCCCGGGTATTGAACCCAGGTCATCTCACTTCCTTTAACCACTAAGATTGCATTAGGTAGGGGTATCAAGGGATACGGGGCATAGCTATTTGTGGGACATTGCTGTGGGCAAACTGGTTGCCGTGTTTTGCCCACAAAATGCACTCAATCCACTTTACGGTACATCCTGTCAAGCACACTGAATCGTCTCGACGTGATAAGGCGCTATACAATTGTAATGATTATTATATACATTTTTATTAACATTCATCATTCACATTAACTTTAATTGTACATTCCTGTTTAGTGAATTCAGACCTTGCTTTTGCAGAATATCACATCGTCAGCATAGTTTCTATAATCTGCCATTATAGTTTAATATTAAAACTGAAATGTCGGAGTTAGGTTCTATAAAGAGATCACGATTAAACATAATACAACACAACAACAACAACAAGATTCCATTTATAGAGCGCCTTTCACGTCAGGAGGACGTCCCAAGGCGCTGCACAGTTGGGTCATGACCCGAGCAGGGGGAAATGGTCAGGGTGAGGGGAGGGAAGGGAGGGAGAGAGGAGGGGGAAATGGTCAGGGTGAGGGGAGGGAAGGGAGGGAGCGAGGAGGAGGAAGAGAGTCGAGAGGGGAGCTGAAGGCTCGGTCAAAGAGAAAGGTTTTGAGACCGGCCTTGAAGGAGGAAAGGGAGGAAGCAAGGCGAAGGCACTGGGGGATGGAGTTCCAGAGCCTCGGGGCTGAGAGGCTGAAGGCCCGACCACCGATAGTAGGGCGGTTGGGGCGGGGGACGTGGAGCAGACCGGAGCCAGAGGAACGGAGGGTACGGGCAGGCAGGTAGGGGGATAGTAGGTTGGAGAGGTAGGAGGGAGCAAGGCCGTGAATGGCCTTGTAGGTGAGGATGAGGATCTTGAATTCGATCCTCTGGGGGATGGGGAGCCAGTGGAGGCGAGCGAGGGTAGGAGGGTAATAGTCTAAATAGTGATCATCGTGGCAAACCACAGAGCAAAAAAGGTGAGTAGCAGACTTTAAACATTAAGTCCATTTTATTATAACACTATGAAACATCCAAGAAATGAATGTCAAAAATATAAATGGCTTCTACTTTTCATCAGCGTCTTCGAACTGTCCCTGGACTAAAGGGATTTCTATAACACCGGTTGTTAATGAGGGAGCGTGATCACAGCTGGGGTTGTAAATCTTCTCATCTTGAAAAATGGGCTGTACTTGGGAACACCCTGCTCGGAAGAATATCTCTAAATCGTCCTCATCTGCAAAAGGAAACAAAGCAGTTAAGAAATCAGCATTTTTTTTTTGACTTACAAGCCATAAAAAAATGTTGGGTGTATGCATTTTTTTTAAAAAAAAGGTAAATTCAGGACAAGGTTCCCCTCCGTTCCACAGGGGAGGGAGAGATAGAGAGAAAGAGAGAGAGAGAGTGCATGTCTCTGTGAGAGAGAAAGAGAGAGAGAGGGTGTGAACATGCCTTCCAGTAAGTGCAAATGCAAATTTCAGAAATGGCCAAGGTAAAAACTGAACCAGAATTAGTAGTTTACACAGACACGAATATGTAAATGTTTTTAAATCATATTTTGGGTTTTTTTTTCAAAAAAAAATGACTCCTCCCAAAAAAAGTCTTGGCTTTACTGTATCTTGGGATACAGTATATAGTTTTGGACACAACATGTCAAGCGACTGCCAGGATGGTGGAAGGCGAACGAGATGGACCTTGGTCTTCTTTCGCCAGCAAATTCGTATGTTCCTGGCATGATGAAAGGCATCTACTTCAGTTAAAACCAACGTTGGATGCAAGTTAGTTGGACGCAAGTTAGTTGGACATCCTCAAGCCAGATACCTCAGTTTCATCTGAAGAGAACTTCTCCACAAGCCAGGCATCATTAACTGGGTTAATACTGTGCAGACTGCACAATGTAATAACTCGGCAAAATAGCATCTGACCCCAAATCTACCTCCTATTGGCGGTGTTTCTCAGCTCTTCCTCTTTAGTATCCTTTCCTATCTCGACTCTCTCGACTCTCTTCTCTTCCCCCTCCTCGCTCCCTCCCTTCCCTCCCCTCACCCTGACCATTTCCCCCCTCCTCGCTCCCTCCCTCCCCTCCCCTCACCCTGACCATTTCCCCCCAACTCGCTCCCTCCCTCCCCTCACCCTGACCATTTCCCCCCAATGCTCGGGTCATGACCCAACTGTGCAGCGCCTTGGAACGTCCTCCTGACGTGAAAGGCGCTTTATAAATGGAATCTTGTTGTTGTTGTTGTATCTGTATTTGTTACTAATCAGTCTATTTCTGCTTCTCTCTTTGCCCTCCATTTCTTCCCTGGGACAGCTTCACAAATCTCTGGCATCTCCTGGAGTCCACGAGGTAAAACTACCTGAGTTTGTAAGTCCCGACACGCATCCTTCACCAACTCTACAGATGTCACCAACTCTACAGATGTTTCGACAGCACAGCATTGGGAGCAGCTGAGTCCAGCACATTTAACCTCACAAGTTCTTACAGATCCATAATTCAAATGAAACCCTAGTTAAATCTGAGATAAGCTTCGCAAATATGCATCTAATTTATACCAGGTTGTCACCGTGGGTTGCCAGTTAACCTGACCCACATCGCTTGCCCTTCACCCTCATGAAAGGTCAATGTTGTTTCATTGGAGAAGGGAATTGTTCTGGGTGTCCTGGCCAACAATCCCACAAATAAAACTGGTCATTCACTTCATGGCTGTTTGTGGGAGGTTGCCTTGTTCAATTTGGCTGCCATATTCACCCACAAGATACACAGTGTATCCTGTGAAGCTCTTGAGACATCTTCCTGATGTAGAAACACTGTTATCAAAAAAAATTGTGGATAAATCAGTTCTATTTTAAATGTACAGTTTTTTTAAAAGTATTTTTACATGTGTGTTATCCTCTGAAAGTTTTACAAAGTGAAAAGTATGCACGAACAAATTTGAAAACAAGTTTTCAACAGACATTTGAACCAATGCAACAGTTATTTTGTCTGAATTGTTGCAGCAGCTAAAAAAAAATCAAATTGAATGAGAAGTACAATTTTCAAATAAGCTGGACACCAATATTTAGAACAGAACTGTTACACTGTAAAACTCATAAGTCAAATCAGTCAGGACCATAACATTAAAGATGATTTACGCAAAGTCCGAGTCTCAGACAAACTGTATAAATCGTATAAAATCCGATTGAATCAATAATCCACAGTGCGCATGCGTACTTCAATGCAGCCGGTATGTGCATGTGTTCAAAAAAAGTGCCCAAGCTCAATAAAATGTTTTGAAAATAGACCCACTTTCAATTCTGTATAAACTGGTACATTTTGCCCACAAAATATAAAGTCAATTCACTTTACAGTATATTCTGTGAAGCACTTGGTGACGTCTTGACGAACGTGATAAGGCGCTGTACCAAATGCAAGGATTCTTGTGATTACTACTATACCTAAACATTACCGTAGGGATAAGCTTCGTCAATTTCTTTCTCCCAGTCCTCTTTCTCAGTAAACAGCTGAGGACCGCACTCGGAGAGCTGCGGTGACCGTCTGGGCTCAAGCGGCAGGAAATCAGAGTCACTCATGTCACAGTCTGAATAATTATCAAAATCTGTTTCGTCATCATTCTCCATCTTATCTACGTCTTCCGCACCATAGGTGCTGCTCAGCGCCTCCGGATTCTGCAATTCTAAACAAAGAGGATCTTCGGCGAGTTTCCTTGCACGTCCTGCAAAACAAAAACCACGAGTTCTATTAATTTGACCCAGAACTGATCACGAAAGAATTCCATGACTATCACAGGAGCTTTTTTTTTTGTTGCAAACCTTTATTGCAATAACAGTGCGCACGTGGGTTAACACAGTCCTTCTCACCTCTGGGACTTGCGGTTAAAACCCAGAAAGAGGAGATAATAGTCCATTGGTAGGAACCAAGTTAAATGTCAGTAATTTCAGTTCCCCCATGGACATAAGCACAAATCTGCCATGATTGAGCGTTAACCAGAAACTTAGGAATCTGAATGAGGATTGTACACTCTCAATGGCATGGGCCTACCCTTCCCAACAGCCTAGTCAACCAAATCCTTCAAAACACACCATCCATCGAAGGAGGAACCGGCTTTAATTAAACTTCTGTCAAAGTCTAGATTCCGTCAAAGCACACAACATGCCCGTGACTTGCCTTGTAGATTAAAATGTAATATACAGTCAATTCACAAAATATACAGCCAATTCACTTTACAGAATATTCTGTGAAGCGCTTTGAGACGTTTCGAAGACGTGATAAGGCGCTATGTCAAATGCAAGGATTATTATTATTACTTTATTATTTTGTACTATCAGGACAGAAGAATGAAACTCTATAAATTAAAAACTATTGTATAGAAATGTGCAATCCATACAATTCTCCACACTCGGGTTACGTGGGTACACAAAGGAACTGAAGAATGAAAATGTTTTACAGACTCTTTACTGTTCAATGACCTCGTGGACAATGTGCAGAAAATGAATGGTCTCCTAGAAATGCACTGCCTTAGTCACTCAAATTTCTCCAACTCCTCCCCATACTTGTTTAACTAGAATACAACTTAAATCACATAGGAGTATGATTCAAATCCATGCTCAACAATATATAATACAACAGATAGATGCACAAGTCTATTTAAATAGGTTTATATGGTCTCTTTCTTCATTCTCCCCAAATAAGAAAAACTAATTTGATGTTGGCTTTATTCCTGTATTGAAGTAAATCATGCTGACGCTTAGGGAGTGATTCGTACTTGCAGAAAACTATATTCTACACAGATTTATTGTGGTCGCACAATTTGAAACAAATAACCAGACTTTTTTTGAAAGCTTATAGTTAAAACAAATTAGGGAACCAAACTTTCTCCTTCAAATACTGGGTGAAAAGGTCTTTCACCAGACTGAATGTTTGGCATCATAAACCATGGCAATTAAGCTTGAGGAATTTATCATGAACACTGGAATCCAAGATGTATTGCATCTCGAAGTGCACTCCAACTTAGAATTGTTCAGTGCTGCCGATGATGTAAAGAGCCATCTTAAGGTTGGGAATCCAGGCTATTCCACTTTGCATCAGTGATAATGCCCTGAACATTTGATTTCAGAAATCTAAAAGAGAGGACGGCTTGGAGACTAAAGCAGTTCAGTGTCAAAAAAAAGGTGAATCACCTGTAGTATACTGTATTTAGCAGTACAAGTACGGAAAGGAAATACACAATAAATGGTAGATTTTAAATAGGGTAGAAAAGCAAAGGAATCTTGTTTTGCAGATTCGGAACAGCTTGCATTTATATAGCGCCCTTATATAGTGGGGTAGCTAGCATCTCGTATGGTTTAATACACGAGTTAATAAAGATGACAGCATCGGTAGAGAAGGCCATGAAAAGGCAAACAAAAGCCTGCAGTCTACAATACAATAGCAAGGCAATACTTAACCTGTACAAGACCTTATTTAGACCACAGCTGAATATTGTCCAGTCTTGGGCTCCCTATTATAGGGATATAAAAGCAATAGAAAAAAATTAAGTGCAGATTCACTAGGGAGTTAACAAGAGGAAGGAGTTTTAGATAAATAATATGAGAGGTTTTTTTTCCCCATTATAGTTGGAAAGACTGAGACACGATCGTCAAGATTATGAAAGCTTACGGTAAGTACATTATTTTCCATTGGTTAGCAGGTCAGTAATGAGAGGGTGCAAAACGAAAATAATCATGAACAGAATTAAAAGGGACACTAGAAAAAAAAATCTTCCCACAGACGATGACTGGAATGTGGAATTCTCTGCCACGAATCGTTACTTTAAAAGGGCATTAGACAGATGTTTGAAAAAGAGGAATATTGAAATACATAGAAAGTTTCGCGAGTGAGATTAGTTGGTTCATGTGGAGTAAAGGTTTATGGGCTGAATGACAATGTTCTCTGTTTAACACTTTACCACCAAGATGTGAAGGCAAAATAGTCTTAAAGACAGAGGACTAGAAATATTTTTTGATCAGCCAGGTGTTTGACACATGCAGAAACACATCACCCTGCTTAAGGGTATCCAAACCAAACAGAGTTCCATGTATCCCACCAATACATGGTAATTTCAGAGATGCTTAATGGAATGACATACCAATAAATGTCCCTTCCTTGAGGATGCATCTTGCTTACCTAAATCCGGAAAGTATTAGGCGCAGGTTGACGAGGCTTGGTGATCCCAGAATGTGTATTGGGGTAACTGCTGGAGTCTAACCAGCTAAAACTGCGGCGTAGCTTGCCTTCAATAGCACTGTCGAGCAAGCTTTCCCACTGCTTCTCTAGCTGGGACCACCCTACACTTTATGGGCTTTGGCTTGCAGGTTAACAGGAGCTGACTGAGGGGATTCCCTGCCCCCAGTGACTGGTCTGCCCTTCCAAGTCCAATACTGCGGACTCGCCTGGATCAGGAACTGAATTGCCATGACGGCCACAGAGGGCTGGCGCGATTCTGACAAATCCAAGCATGTCACCTTGGAGCTATTTCGGTTCCAAAGAGGTTACTCCCTAGTTCTTCAGTTGATATCCAACAAGTTTATCAAATATCAAATGCAAGGATTATTATTATTATTGCTGTCACAGAACACAGCATCCAGGTATCGCTAAGGATCAACCAGAAAGAAGAACGTACAGGAGAACTCTAAAGGCTAAAAAAGGGGAATATTTATAGATGATGGTGACAAATATGTTTTCACGGTTGGCCCTGCACGACTTTACACTTCCTCTGTTTTGTTTCTTTTGTCCCCTCAGGTATTTGATGTGCTGAAATCCATCACTGTGCTTAAGAGTATCCAAGTCAGACTGAGAGTTCCACATTTTGTGCTTACCTACACATGGACATTTCTGCGTCTGGACTGGAATGCGCATTTCAAGGAAGGGTGCAACAAAAACAAATTGCATTGTATAGCGCCTTTCACTTCGGGAGGATGGGTGCACGCTGCTCACCTAATTCTGGTGAGCATTAATAATAATTGAAAAAAATAAAATAACCCTTGCGCTCACTGCAGTCAGTGCCTTTCGTATCAGGCGGATGAGCCAACCTCTTCACGAGGATATATTATAAAGTGGAGCGACTGCGTGTTTTGCGGGCAAACGTGGCAGCCAATTTGGGCCCTGCAACGTCCTACAGATAGCCGTGGCGCGAACGGTTAACTTTATTCGAGAAATTGTTGGCCAAGACGTCGGAAGAAACTCTCTTCTCTTTTCGATGAGTGTCAGGTTCACAGGAACATGCACGCGGGGGCCTCACTGGAAAGACAGCACCTCCGACACTTTATTAAAGTCCAGATGATGTAACTTGCTCCACATACACAACGTGTGCACCATTAGTCACGTAGCCTCAACTTACAAGGTTCTGGTTCATGCAGACAAATAGACGCATTAATCTACTGCCGCCTTGTGGGGAAGCCTCCAATTACATAACAACATGCACCAGCGGTCCAGCATATTGCAACTGCTTCTTATGCATTATTTTCATCTAAACATTGGGGGTTACAAGCCAGTAACAGCTGTTTTTTTGTACTGTCAGCTGTATAACTTGGACTCTTCTGTCTGAAGCTCACGACGAGGAAACGTGGTATAGATCAGCTGCGAACGTGTCGCGCACAGAGCTACAGCTCACGGACCCGAAGCTTGTCGGTTTGAATCCAAGTTGGTGCTGAGTTTCCTGGGGATCAATTGGGGCTGCGTAAGGAGGGAGGTTAAATTGACCCTGGTGTCCCCAGGGTTAGGGAGGGTAAAATCAGCTAGATTGCCTGGTCTATTCTGCACCCTCTTCTGGTTGTGTGCCAACTGGGTGGAGAGAGGTCAGGCAACAGCCTCTATAACCAAGTGGTCAGCCGACGCTCACTACCCACGGTCCTACATGAACAACAGTTACCAGGGTAGGTAACCGGATTGTACATAACATAAGAACATAAGAAACGCTAGACGAAAAAAAGACCAAGGACCGTCCAGTTCGGCTTCCACCGACCTTCCCGGCGGTCGCATGCACAAATGCCCCGAACTACCTATGTACCATATCCCATAATGCTATTTCCTAAAAGAAAAATGATCTAATCTGTGTTCGAATGAATCAACACTTCCTGCTTCAACCGTGTCCCTAGAGAGCCTGTTCCACAGGTTCACTGTTCCCTCAATGAAATAGTGTTTGCGTAGATTCGTTCTGAATTTCCTCCCCTTCAATCGCAGGCCATGTCCTCTGGTTTTATGATTCTGGGATAGTTGAAACAGCCTGTCGTGATCTACATTGTCTAACCCCTTTAAAATCATATTGCCTCTCAACCTTCTCTTTTCCAGGTGAACCTGTCCAATTTACTCAGTTGCTTCTCATAGTCCAGTCCCTCCATTCCTTCAATCATTCTGATTGCCCTCCACTGTCTCCTCTCAATTTCTCCAATATCCTTTTTGTACTGTGACGACCAGAACAGTACACAATACTCTAAGTACGGCCTCAACAATGATTTATACAGTGGCAGGATTACGCCACTGCTTCGGCTTGCTATTGGATCTTTTGATACGTCCCAACATCTGGTTTGCTTTACTCACTGCCACAGAGCATTGTTTCGAGAGATTCAATTTCTTGTTAAACAGGAGCCCCAGGTCCTTTTAATTTTCCATACATATTATTTTCCTTCCGTTCAAATAATAGTCCCTTCCTGGATTTTTTGTCCCCATGTGAAGGACTTTACATTTCTCCACACTGAATTTCATCTGCCCAGTTGCCAAGTATCCTTGTGGGTAACCAGTGCCTGTGGAATTTTCCTTTTTAGCCAGAGGAGACTGGGGAATGGAAGTACAGTTTATTGCAGGAATATATCATATGTTAATAATAATAATAACAATCCTTGCATTTGATATAGCGCTTTTCACGTCTTCGAGACGTCGCAAAGCGCTTCACAGAATATACTGTAAAGTGAATTGACTATATATTTTGTGGGCGAAACGCGGCAGCCAATTGCACATAGCAGCGTCCACACAAACAGTCGTGGATGAAGGACCAAATTATTACTTTTTTTCTTGAGGGATTATTATCAGGCGTGTGGAGTAAGGAAACTTGCCCAAGGTTTCGCCTTGCCGGGAATCAAACCCAGGTCTCTCGCTTGCGAGACGAGTGCTCTAACCACTGAGCTACCGGACTTAATGAAGTAATCATTAGAAAAATCGAACACACAACGTTTAAGAAGAAACGATGGGTATAAAAACGCTCTACTTGTCCAACATTACCAAAGAAGCTTATAAATTTAATTTGTAGAAATAGACGAGGAATTAAATGATAACCATGGAGTATAGCTCCGACAGAAATCATAATACAATCATACAAACATAATAATAATAATAATAATCCTTGCATTTGATATAGCGCTTTTCACGTCGGGAGGACGTCCCAAAGCGCTTCACAGAATAGACTGTAAAGTGAATTGACTGTATATTTGTGGGCGAACGCGGCAGCCAATTGCGCACAGCAATGTCCCACAAACAGTCGTAGATTGAAAATGACCAATTTATTATTGCTTTGTTTTGGAGGGATTATTATTAGGCTCTGTGTGGAGTAAGGAAACTTGCCCAAGGTTTCGCCCTCTGCCTGGAATTGAACTCAGGTCTCTCACTTGCAAAGCGAGTGCTCTAACCACTGAGCTACAGGACTCCACACATAACACATAACAAACCAAAATTGGGTTACAAATGATACAACAACAATTTACATTTATATCGCATTCTTCACCCGAGTAGCGTCTTGTATTACATACCTAACTGTGGCCTCCACATTTTTCCACCTTTCTCGCAAACTGATTTAATGTTTAATTTTTCACTTTGAGAGCAGCCATTATTTTCATTAACTGAGATCTGTGGCGGGAAGTACAAGAATTATCTGAATTAATGGCAGTGATAAATGTTACTCGTTATCAAGCACAAGGATTAGGAGAGGACGTGTTTCTGCAATAAACTAATAGCCTGGTCCAGTGAGTTTCTATACGAATGACGTAAGCAGAACAGGAGAACACTCTATGTCCATACACTGACTGTTCATACATTCACTTAGCCTCAGACCCCCAGTGAACTTCGAATTCTGGATGGCACAGTGTGGCCCTATTGTGGTAGTGTAACCCCGATGGACGAAGTTTTTGATTAACACTGCAATTCCAATTAATCCCAGCTCAGGTGCCAATAATAATCATAAACCTTGCATTTGATGTAGCGCCTTATCATGTCTTTGTGACGTGTCAAAGTGCTAATTTGTTAAGAGCCTTGGGACACCCTCCTGCGTGAAAGGCATGATACTGTATACATGTAGATTTGTATTGTTTCTGTGTCATATAATTCTATGTAATATGCATAAATATTCTAAGGGAGTTTCTCACAGTGTCCTGACCAACAATCCATCAGATAAAATCAGTGATTTATTCCATGGCTGTTTGTAGGTCACTGCAAATTGGTTGCCACATTCATCTAGAAATTCAGTCTATACTTTATAGTAAAATCCTATAAAGCACTTTGAAAAGTTGATGATTCGATAAGGCACTATATCAAAATGCAGTCGTTAATAATTAATTATTAACAATTGTCAATCTTCAAAAAGTATGAGCAGGCTAGACTTGCACTTTCTGAATCTACATTAACAGTCATTTATTAAGTTATATTCACACTTTCCCTCTAAGAATTGATCCCAATAGAATTTCAATTATTAAAGTCAAACCAACTACCCTTCTTTAATACAGCAACTATATTTGCTTGTTTTTACTGTCAATAACTCTAGTGTTGACTGACTGCTTGTTAGTGCTTTACACATCCCCATTTTCATCTCGCCAAGTTCCCTGGAGTACAGGTTGTCCTTGGGAGGACATCCGTTCCCAAGGGGCTGGACAGTTGAGAGTTTGCTTCGAGCTGGGAGTTGGTTTTAGAAGGGGTGGAAGCCAAGAGGGTGGAGGTGGGAAGATGACAGAAGGAACAGTCAAGGAGGAAGATCTTGAGACCGACATTGAAGGAGGCAAAAGAAAGGGTGAGGCACAGCGATGGATGGAGTTCCAGAAAAGAGTGAAGGCCCAACTTCTGTTGGTCTGGTGGACAAGCAGGGGGCGAGAAGCCAGTGTCTGTTCAGAGGAAGGAGTGGCAGGTTGGTAAGGCTTTAGGTCACAAATGGCAGTCAATCAGGAGATCCTGTGACATATAGGTATTCAACTGGAGAAAGTTAACTCTCATCCAGGACTTGATGTCTGACAAGCAATCGGTCTGATAATCAACTGGTCCTAGAAACAAGGGTGGAGGCAGAAACCTAAACACTGGGTATGATCTGCCGGTGCAGGGCTGAGGGGAGAAGCCAGTGATATATACAAATTGGAGCCGTTGACAAGGAAAGCACCATGAAGGTGGAGCTGAGAGGAGAGGCGGTGGACAACAATTGAATGGTCAGCTGTGTCGAAGATGATAGAGAGATCAAGAAGGACGAATAGTGGAAGCCCTGGTCACATAGATAAGAGAGAATGCCATTGGTGACTTCGATCAGTGCCGTCCCAGTATCGTGAGTAACCGGATTGGAAGGGGTCTTGCAGGGAAAGGACGTCTCAAAGAACCCAAAGCTCAGGTAATACAATTAAATCTTAATTGTTTTGTTTTTTAAACTCAAAGCAGTTAACACTCCAGCAATATCTGAGGTGAAATGATCACCCCCCCCCCCACCCAATAGACAAGAAAATAGTCTTGAGCCTGGTCCACGGTGTCAGCTAAGCCCAAACCATCTTTCAAAACAACATGTGGGTTAACAGTACATTGGCTATTTTACCTTACTCGGAACGGTCGTGCTCGTCTCTTGTAGAGATGCAGCGAGACAACCACTACTAGTACTGGTAGACCGTTTGTCCATCATTACAGTGGTGGGAGAGAAGGGGTTGGGGGGAGTGGGAGGGTTGGTGTGGGGTGAGTGGGGGATGGGGTGGGTGTGTGGGGTTGGTGTTGGGTGGGGGTTGTGGGGATGTGTGTGAAGGGTGGGGGTTGGTGTTGGGTGGTGGGGATGGGGTGTGTGTCGGGGGGGGTTGGTGTTGGGTGGGGGATGGGGTGTGTGTGTGGGGGGGTGAGTTGGTGGGTGGGTGGGGGATGGGGTGTGTGTGGGGGGTGGTTGGGATGGGGAGGGGTTGGTGTTGGGTGGGGATGGGGTGTGTGTGTGGGGGGGGGATGGGATGGGGGGGTTGGTGTTGGGTGGGGGTTGTGGGGATGGGGTGTGTGTGGGGGGGGGATGGGTGTTGGGATGGGGTGGGGGTGGGGGGTTTGGTGTTGGTGTGGGGGAGGGATGGTGTGTGTGTGGGGGGGGGAGTTGGGATGGGGGGGGTTGGTGTTGGGTGGGGGTTGTGGGGATGGGGTGTGTATGGGGGGGGGTTGGTGTTGGTGGGGGGAGGTGGTGTGTGTGTGGGGGGGGGTGGGGATGGAGGGGTTGGTGTTGGGATGGGTGGGGGGGGGGTTGGTGTGTGTGGGGGGGGGTGGGTGGGGGGGGAGGGGGGACTTGAGAGCAAACGCCACAGGGCCGAACCTCCAATTCAAGCAAAGTAACTGTGAGCAAAAACTTTACGAACACTTTACGACAGACAGACAGACAGCCGGTGTGTGTGGGGGGGGGCGGTGAGGGGGCGACACGGCCGCCCGCACGCGCTCCGGAGGGTGGAGCAGCTGACGCAACTGCGCCTGCGCAGCGACTTCTCCCGGAGCGACGACGGCGGCGGCGGCGTCAGCAGCAGCAGCTGGTGGGGGGAGGGAGGATGTGCGCATGCGCGATTCGACGATGACGACGGCCGCCGCCGCAGCGCATGCGCGAGTCGGCCCCACCCACCCACCCCGCCGCAGCAGGTGCGATATGCGCGTGCGCAAGTCGGCCCCACCCACAGCAGTTGTGTGGGGGGGGGGGGCTTGATATGCGCGTGCGCGAGTCCACCACCACGCCTCGTCCCACGACAACCACCACCACCACTCCATGCGCGCAGATTGGGCGGTCTCTCACGCCCAATTGGGCGGGTTTCTGCCGTTAACTGTGCCTGAGGAAAGGGGGTTTGGGCTACTGACTTGATTTTTTAAAAAAAATATTATTAGTTTCTCTCCCCCCTTCCCCCATCTCCCCCCATCTCCCCCCACCCCCACACCTCCCCTCCCCCACACCTCCCCTCCCCCAACGCTTTCGAGACGGACCCTTTTTTTTTCACACACGGTTTCAAAAGCACTGCCCCACTCGGCGTTGGCCACTCTGTTACCCTATCGGAGGCAACGCATCATGTTGGGCTACTATTGGGGGAGGCTCGGGGGTGGTGGGGCGGGGGGGGGTGGGGGTGTTCTGGGGGTGGCTCGGCGGATCTGGGGGAGGGCTCGGGGGTTCTCGGGGGGTTCGGGGGGTCTAGGGTAGGCTCGGGGGGTTCTGGGGGAGGTTTGGAGGATTTGGGGGGGGTCTGAGGGAGGCTCAGAGGGTCTGGGGGAGGCTTGGGGGGGGGGGTCTGGGGAAGGCTTGGGGGTCTGCGGGAGGCTTGGGGGGCTCTGAGGGAGGCTTGGGGGGGTCTGGGGCAGACTTGGGGGGTGTCTGAGGGAGGCTTGGGGATTCTGGGGGAGGCTTGGGGGGTTCTGGGGGAGGCTTGGGGGGTTCTGGGGGAGGCTTGGGGGGGTCTGGGGGAGGCTTGGGGGGTCTGGGGGAGGCTGTGAGGGTCTGGGGGAGGATCAGGGGGTCTGGGGGAGGCTCGGGGGCTCTGGCCTGGGCTTGGGGGGTCTGGGGCAGGCTCAGAGGGTCTGGGGGAGGCTCGGGGATGTCTGGGGGAGGCTCGGGGGGTCTTAATATTTGAGGTATCCAGGCTTTTTGTTAATAGTACAAGATTGAGAGTACTATGATAATCCCTCCTTTTGTTACAGTGCCCTGTAGTGCCTCAAACAACTTCACAGGATTTTACTATGGAATTTAATCAATTTGTAGACAAAAACAATAAACCGCTTGTACTCAGCACTGTCCAGTAATCAGCCATTTAGGTATCACCCAAAATAAAGATCCCATGGCACTGTTCTTAAATTACTAAAGATAAGAAATTATATATATAATCTGTACCTCACAAGATTTTTGACAGGTGTCGGGATATAATTAGTCTTGACAGGTTTTCAGAGACTCCTGACAGGTTTTCCTCCACCGAGCTGTCTCTGTCTCTCTGACCTCTGTCAGACGACCCCTTGTTGTTTTGTTCTTTTTGTGTTTTCCCTGTTTGACTTCATACCTTTCATCTCCATTCCCGGTCATTTAAGTGCTCCAAGATGCTACCCCGGGTAGAGGGTGCTCTATAAGTGCAAGTTGTTGTTGTTGTTGTTGTTGCTCTTTGAAATTGTAGGCGTTCACCTACAATCCCATGAAGTGCTTTGAGATGTTTTGATGACCTAATAAGGCCCTATCAAATCAAGCAATTATAATAACCTAACAAATCATTCAAGGCATAGGCCGTACAGCTTCTTGGATCTTCAGAGATATTCACAGACAGCCCGAGTGGTCTGAACTCAAATCATGAATTATTAGCAATAGAAAGGGTGATGGGGCAGGGGTGGGCAATTCTGAAATATTTCTTAGAGGTTTCTTATCCCGATAGATCATTAATTAATATACCTCACTAGAAAATACGCAAAATGAATCATTTCACGATGTCTGACACGGTGTTTGTGTACACCTGCCCCCACCCCACGCTACCCCCCCCCACACACACGCACACACAGACAGACAGTCAGACACACACCACCACCACACTACTTCGCTCACTGAGATTTCCATTTTGCACAACAGCCATTCTTGAAGCTCATTGAGTGAGATGGTCGATATGGTGTCACATTCGAGACAGAATCATTAATCCTAGAAATGATAACCATTCATTAAACTTTATCCATATCTTTAAATCCAAGACTGATGAGATGCCCTTCTGCTAACTGTACATACAATGTGCATGATAGATTGAGTTTGAGTAACGCAGTCAGCATCACAGACTTCCGGATTTCTTGATTACCTGGTAATTTTCTTCCATGAAAACTGCCATGTAATCCCAGCCAGTCCCTGAATGATGTAACACCACACATATGTAGATTCCACATGCTTGATTTTGAATATAAATTTTATTCACCGTTAGTTTCTGTGAGCATGTAGGATCTACAGCTTTAATACCATGCAGTGGATCTGAAGTACAGCAAGAGCATCAGTAGATAGCATTAAAAGTCAAAAGTACTATAGTAGAATCTTGATAAATAATCCACTGGTCTTTCAACGATCATAAAATGTTGCAGCAGTGGGTTTGAATCTCAAATGCAATTGCCTGTGAGTAAGTTGTTTGTGGTTCATACAAAAGTTCTTGCAAAAGTACCTTTCCCACTGCTGCTGGGAGCACAACACCAGCCAAGGGACTGTGTGTATGAGCCATGATTAATATCGCTGCTTATTCAAACTGAACTGCTTGCTCAGTTGGTATTAAAATAATTATAACCGTGCTGCTGCTTGTTCCATTTCTAAGCCTCCATCGGATGCTAATAAGTGGCACAGTTTCATGTTAATAGCAAAAAGAGTGAATATCCCAACTCCTGATATGTGCTCTACTCTAGTTGGTGACAATAGGCATGGGGAGGTGACTGTAGGCATGGTTGAATAGGACGGTCTTCAGGCGTGACCTGAAGATGGGGAAGGAAGGGGTAAGGCGGAGGGATAGAGGAAGAGTGTTCCAGAGTTTCGGGGTGTAGTGGCTGAAAGTGCGGCCACGAAAGGTGGAACGGAGGGTACGAGGGACATGCAGGCTGGAGCCAGTCGAGCGGAGGCAACGGGTTGTGGGTTAGGGGGTAAGCAGGTCGGAGAGGTAGGGAGGTGCCAGGGCATGAAAAGATTTGAAAACTAGTGCGAGGATCTTTAAATTGACCTGTTCGGAGATAGGGAGCCATCTGTGAAGTACATTCTGTGAAGCGCTTTGAGACGTCTCGAAGACATGATAAGGCGCTATATTAAATGCAAGGATTATTATATATTTGTGCAATTGCTAAAGGGATGTCCTAGTTTATCCCATTAAGGTTAAGGTAAGTTTACAATGATTTATTTTTCACAGCAAAAATGTCTTGAGCACAAACATAGCAAAATTAAATGGGTCACGAAAAATACTGGTTATACAGTAACAAATTGCTTTGCATGTTTTTTTTCTGGAAAAGTTTAAATGGCAGGAGAGATAAAGCATTGCCCTGGAGTGGCAATTTTGAGGATATCACAGAATGGGTGAGAAAGGGCAATGTTATTGATCTTGAGTTTCAAAAGGCATTCAAGTTGGTGCCTCACAAAATACTTGTGGTTAAAGAAAAAGCTGTGGAGACAGAAGAGAACAGAGAAAATTCGTTAATAAACTGAGTAACAAAATAAAAAGGACAGAGCAATGATCAGTCAAGTTGTTTCTAATGGGATAACTGTAAGCAAAGGATTGAGACAGAAGACGAGAATAATGCGATGGACAGCCAGAAAGATGAATTGGAATATGTTTTTAATGACAGGCTAGTTGGGTGTAGGGTGGACCGAGAAATACAGTTATTCTATATTATGTAGTTCTGCATTGATGTATGATGTTTCAGAAGGCTAGCATCTGCAAACACTCAGAAAACCAGGTCAACAGATGCTCACGGTCATCAATAATAATAATAATCCTTGCATTGTATCATTCCTTTCACAACAGGAGCATGATGTCTCAAAGTGTTTCACAGGATATATTTGAATCCCCTTGCCTTTAAAGTGCAGCAACTGCATTTTTGTTGGCAACTGGGCACAATTTGAAAAAAAGTTTGTGATTGTTCCCCAGAACAGCCCTTTATACTATCAAATCCCACCTGCTAGGACCATAATATAACTTGATCCAAGTAATAATATATAGTGTAATCCTTGCATTTGATATAGCCTG